GAAATACCCACACTTGATCTGCACAGAGCATGCTTGGGAAAAGTCAGGCTCACTAGCTCCGAGTCCACAAGGACTGTGCTTCAGTTCCTGCCCCCAGCCTAAGGGGTCTTGCTAAACAAGGTCTACCCATAACACTTCCCTCCCCCTAACCCTTAGCTTTACAGTGGTCAGATCTGCCCCTCCCTTTGACGAACACCACTGCCCTCACTCTCCCACAAAATAAACTAGGCCTTGAAAAGCATCTCTTCAGCTACTTCAGGATTAAAATAAATAAACAAATAAATGAGTCTGAAACCATGACCCTCGTTTTCAGCAACGTGAGCATTCAGCTCCCACTCGCAGCACTTAAAATCAGGCCACAAATCTGTTCCTTTTTACACCTGCAGATGGTTGCTTCATCTCCCTACAGATGGTATCTCGAAGTCAAGGCAAGTGGCTTTCACGCAGAACTCCAAGGCTACTTTTAACAAATTTGTTACGAGCAGAAATGTAGTATTCCAAGGAAAGACAGAAGGCTATACTCATCGCAAAAATCCTTTATTAAACTAGATTTTGTAAATTCCTTTTCACATTAGAAATTCTAAATGCAAATTAAAAAACTGTATATTTCAGTAAAAAAATGAAAGTTACAGTTAACAGCAAAATTACAACTTTATACAAATACAAAAATCTTTCTTTTTTAAAATTTTACTTTAAAAATAAACATTAATATCTTCCAATGCACTGGTCCTAACAGCTTTTACAGCTGGTAGCTGCAATACTAAGTCTGTTCACACGCATATTCACATAGTCATTTAATCCTCTGCACAGTTTATGTAGCATGAACAGTTGGGTTTTGGTTGGGGTTTGAGTGGGATTTTTTTTTTTTAAGAGAACATTATACTTTTAAGTCAACGTACTGTTAAGAGTGTTTGTACTCTACCACCTCCTCAGCTCTGCAGAGGGCAATATTATGCTGGAAATGTGAATTGCATTTCAAGACATAAGTATCAGTAGCGTAAAGTCTACGTCTAATTTCTCATATTACATTTATGATGATGATTCTTTGCCATTATCAACAATGAAATTATTCTCTTGTCCACCTACCACATTTTGTAGTAAGATTAAGTAAGAAATGGGTTACGTTTAACTTCCTTAAGTAAAACCTTCCAGAAAACATGTCCTATTAAGTATGTAAAGACATTCCCTGACACTGTACAAAATCACAACAGTGATGTTCCAGATGTTCGAGTTCTACTGATGTTCTAGGTTATGACTGGAGGATCGGAGGCTGTTTAAATGGGGATTCCCAAGTCACAGTTATTTCTGAAACCCCAAAAAACGGCCAGTTAAGCTTCATCTGAGGTGTCCTTCAATAGGCCAATAAAAATATTAAGTTTCAATAAAATTGTATCACATACAAAAGCAAAAGCCAAAGTCCTGAAGTATCTTGATTTTTTTTTAGACCACTTTTGCCCTACTCCTTCCACAAACCATCTGAGATATATTTGTAAACACATTACTTAGAACAACTTTCTTCATTGCACCTGGCCCTTTTTTTTTTTTCCTCTCTTTAAGTTACTCACAAACGCTAGCAACAAGCCCTAAATTTTGTATTAAAGAGAAAATATAAATTTTCCTAAATTAAAAATTGGGATAAACGTTAAAATGTTTCATTAAAAAGAGATCAAAAGTCACACATTAATCACTACCAGTCATCACAACCACATACTGTTGAAGAATATAATAAAAAGTGGTACACAAAATAGGTATTTTAAGTTACACATTATTTCAGAGTGCTGGTGGCAATACAGCCAAGTGCTAATTTAATTTAAAAAGTGTAAGATGATACAGAATGTACAGGATACCTCAGGATTCTCACGGATGCAACTGAAAAAGACATCCAGAAATGCTGGAAGTTCTAAAATGTAACCTACTTTGAAATGCCATTTTGAAACAATTATATCTGACATAATTCAACCCACTATACATTATAAAAATTCCAGTGGTGGTTTTTTTCTGGACAGTTTGGCAAGTAGTTGAAGGCATGGAGATCCTTACTAATCAAAGTCTATTTTATTTCTCTCTAAGCACTTTTCTTCTCCACTCTCTATCAAGCTCAGCACAGTGTCTAAGCACACGCCTAAGCTCCTATGAAAGAAGAAAAAAAAAAGGCTGAGATCGTATTTTCTCCAAGTTGGATGTGCAATGCCTCTCCCCGAGCTGCTGAAGCTGATGAAGGCTCTGTCACTAACTTCAATCAAGGCAAGACCAGTTCTGCCCAAGTTACAATTTTAAACCATCGTCTTCCACCAAAGTTCAGCCTGTAAACGCACGACCTATACTTGGTGAAGGATCAACCTATAAGCAGAGAGGGTATCTGGAGTACCTCAGCGAACCTCAACCTGCACCCAAAGGGGCAACAGAGAGAGGCAGAGAGAGAAGTGCTCCAAATTGCTCAAGCTATGTACTTCTCTGCTGACTTTGAGAGACTCTCCTAGTAAAGGGTGGAGCTGAGGTTTTTCCCTGAACACTTTTTAGGTGTTTATCCAAACAGGACTAAGAAACAGAAAAATACTGTCGAGGGACATTTGAAGCTCAGCTGGAACAGTTTCTTTTTTGAAGCGTCTCAGCCCTCTTTCAAAGACTGTCTATGCACTTTTTTAATTCTTACATCTCTTTTGTCCCCTCTATCTTGCATTTTTAGCTTGCAGTGACAATTTCGAAAGCAGCTCAGGAAGTGGCAACTTCAAGAATACCCCTGAGCACCCTGGTTAGAGCATCTTCTGGGGAAGTGAGAGTCAAGCGCAATCACTGTCCCCTTGCTAGGCCAGAGGAAGGTAAAAAAGCTGTGTTTCTCATCTCCAGAGTAAACTTGTCAACAATGAGATTAAGATGAACAGATGGGCAATACAACAACTTTTTCTGCTCATCTTTTGAACTGAAATCTAAGCTGTCTCTGTCCATGTCAGGAATGGTGTGAATACACTGAGCGAATCAGGCGCCCTCCCAAAACAACCAGAAGGGTTGACACTTCCCTGTTTACAAGCACAGCACTATTGGAACATGACCTTTCCTGAGTAACTCAGGTCACCTGGGGCCAACCAACAGGGACTACGATTTAAAGAGCCACCCCAGAGAGCCGCACCTGCATTCGTTATAAAGAGTAGCACTGAGAAACAACTGTTCAGGAGCAGCAGGAAGTTCCTCAGTCCAAAACAAAGACCCTGGCTCACCGGAAGCAATTATAGCATCTGCAACCCCAGACAGTTGATAGTCTGAAACTGCTGTCTCGAGTCCAAGTGCCGAAAAATGACACCTCAGGCCATTTTAGGCACTGTCACAGAAGACTGAGCATGAGCTTCACCGCTCAGAATATCGTGAGGTGACAGAAACAGCTCTGCTAAGTGCTGCTTTGGGAGCACAGATCTTTTATTTCACCCACTGGTCACCAGAGCAGCCCAGAGAGAAAGAAGAAGAGACACAATGCAGATGAACTAAGTACCCACAAAAAATATAAAACTTATGACAGTCTAATTATTCCAGTAGGAGTCCCTTTGATTAAGTATTATTCAAGCTATCCTTCCATTTGAAATCACCATGAAAAGATCATTGTGTCTGTTATTTTTAAGTCTACCATACATTGCATTCACTGTGTATATATTACAGCAAAGATGGATATTCAACAACCAGCATGTCTTCCAGTTTGTCAGCAACTTACACAGACACGTTTTTCAAGTGAAACCTATTTCCATCCACAGCTTTTCTCACAGAAGTTCCTTGCTTATTACCACCCATGTGCACAAACGGCAGAACTTGCACACACATACGAGTTCAGCCACAAATTCTACGCACATGTAGTTCCTGGAAAAAAAATCAATGCAAACGTGGTTTAAAAGGAAAAAAACCTCCCCATTAATCTTTAACCTACTGATATTACTCCTAATACAAAACTCATACCTCTTCTGAAAGAGCCTTACAAAAAAAAAAAAAATGGTTTGTAGTAAAAACTTTTTATGCCTTTCAAGAGGCAAAGATGTAATTAAAAGTAGCAATGCACTCTAGAAGATATTTCTGTTAAAAAAACATTCTGAAATGCTTACTGGAAACACTTGCCAAAGTACAGGTGTTCATATTTAATTTGAGAGTTTTCTGTTGTTGTCCTGTTTTGTTGGGTTTTTTTAACACAGGTATTTCTAGATGCTGACGCAACACCACCAACCAACTTTTTTACTCCCAGATTTTCCAGTTAGGCAATTATTACTGTAGTATTAGCATTCACTTTGTTAAAAATACATTTAAAATGTCCCATGAACAATCATATTTTCTACAAGGCAATCACAAAATTTAATATATGCAGAATGAAGACACATGACTATCAGACCCCTGTAAAGTGAAACTCAATTTGCTCCATTTAAAAAGCCATAAAGGAAAAAACACTTTTAATTCAACAGGTGCTGAAAAAAGTAAGGGCATTTCCTGCAGCAAAATTACAGTATTAGCTACGTGTAAGTAGAGACTGAACTACAGCATTGTATTTTTCCCTTTAAGAGATCACAGTAAGTCTGCAAAATTAACAAAAGTACAGCTGGTGTTAGAGCACGGTCCTTTATATGCATCTGTCAGTATCAGAAGTTTAGAGTGGAATAAAGACTGGTCAACCCATTACAAAATATCCACTAAAAAATAGACTACATCAGACTTTTGAAGAAACCTGCATGTATTTAGCACTGAGTTTTAACTGGATCTCAGGTACCAGTAGATGCTGAGTTCCTGCCTCCCCTGTGCTCTTATGAAGTGTTTAGCATGAAGTTCTGAATCAGAACATAACTTTGTACAAGGTACTATGTTTTAAAACAACAGATTCCACAGCAATGAAAATGTGTGAGGGTCAAAATATGTAGACAGGGTATGCTGAAAAAGTTATATTTAAAAATTGTACCTTCCCTTTAAAACATCATATAGTGCTCAGCAGAATTCCTAATCTGCATTTGTGAAGTGTCTTCTTTTTGCAGGTTCAAAAAATTTTCCTGGAAACGTACTGACAAAACCACTTGCTGTAAATTGGGACCGTTTGTAATAAAATGTCGTCCTTTAAAACTGATTACAAAAACACTACTGCAGTTGTTCAAAGTTTTTAGCTGCAATCTGACATCATGGTTTCTATATTCCTCTTCTCGACAACCCTTCAATTCAACATGACTTTCAGGCAGCCTGGCTTTATTTCTGTGAACCTGTGAAACAAGAAAAGATGAAGCTTCAATACAAAAGCTATGTGCCATCTCCTTCAGCCCTCATCAAACATATGGAAGGCGATAAGGTTCTCAGTCAAGTATGCGTGCCTGTCAGAGTCATGAAATCAGCATCACATCCTCTGGATGCAAGAGCAAAGCAGGATTTTACACGATCCAATGCAGTGAAGAGCTGGAAACAGCAGGAGGAAGACTTAAAGGAAAAAATAAAAAAAAACCACCACAGCTGCCCAACATTCCTGGTTATATTTATTCTGCACTTCTCTTCCCACTCCCCTTCCGTCCCCCTCTTCTTTCAAAACAGATTTTCTCCCTTGTCTTCTGCAGAAAGCAAGAAGGAAATGGGAAGGGACGTCTTTGCTATTTCCAAGTGCCACCTTCACAGTCACCTCCACAACTAAGCAAACATGCCGATTCCAGGCCAGACTTGCTAAATTGCTGTCCCACATAAGCAGCTGAGAGCTACAGCAGGTATCGGAGACTAATAAAAAGGAAGATTAACAAATTTTGACAGTAAAGCTAGCAACCTTGAATGGAAATGTGTAATTAAACTGTTAGGTAAGTTTAATTCATAGTGTTCTCATCTCTCTCAGAGAAAAGGATCTAACATTTAATATGTGCCCTGTGTAAGATGGTTTTGTGTCACACAGTTGCACCAGATTTATGAAACAGCAGACCTGCTTTAACTTGTTTAGCATTTTAACAGTATTCTAAAACTTCAGTTCAATTTTCAGTTAGTTCAATGTGGGTTAAGGAAAAAAAAAGTATCAGTAACAAAAATCTAAACTCACCTGAAGTTGTGGCTTGTGAGGTATCTGATAGCTGCTGGTCTGATGCGAGCAACTCCTCCCTGACTATGGCTTCCTCTTCCCGTGATAACACAGAGATAGGGTTTACCACCAGTCTGCTGGTACTCTGTAACAGCAGGGATGGTAACGGTTAAAATGTTCCCCCGACACAGACTCAGCAGTATGGCCTTCCCATGGTTCTTCTGAAAACTCACACCAGTGATTCAGAACTTGGCTTTCCCATGCTAGCTATGCATCTTTTATATAAGCAGAGCCTTTTTCTCCTCTTCTGAAAGAGATATTCTGAAAAATTATAGTCAAGCTTTTTAAATCTAGCTTGCTTGCAAAATGCATGTTGTGATTATCACAAGATCCTTCTAATTTCATAGCAGCTGTACTCTTTCTATAATCTAATCTTCACTTGGAATTTACATCCCATGATACAAATTAAAATTGCAAAATTAAAAGAGGTAGAAGTAAGTAAGTTAATTGTTAAGTGACAGTTCTCTCCATTGTTTCACACTTTATCTTAAACTAATGCAAATAAAGAATTAATATTTTATTGGATTAAAAAAGAAAGGAAGGAGGAAAATATAAATCCACACAGTTTTTTACATTCAAGTCATACTTATTTGGACTAACTTCTGCTATGTTGGAGCATGTGAATCAACAGACCCACACACAGTATGAGCTTTATTAGAGCATCTAGCCCTGATAACATAAGAAGTTGCTCTTCCCCCAGAGATTACAGCAATCTAAACTGATGAAGAGTTTGAAAAAGGAGGAAAAAAATATAAATTTAACTGGATTCTCACAACAAGCCAAGATTTGACAGTTCAAGACAGTCAGTTCCATGACTTAACTTTATTTGGGTTTTATATTAGTTTATTGTTAATTCTGCCAACATTAAGTGCCCAGCATTGATCCTTTTCCCATGTATCCACGCTAAATTGAACTTTTTTTTCAGGTTTAGGTGAATGGACTGAACAGAGAACCATTATCATCATTACAGGAGCCCTGATTTAAGTGCAGCTCAAGAAATCTAGCTCTAAAAGTTACTAGGTTACAGCTTAAAGTATACAAACATCATTTTAGGAATCATACAAGATAATGCAATTTAATTATCACTGATGTATATTGAAATAAACGAATTATCTAAGGCCCCACTGAATATTTCTGTTTCTCCTGTACGGAGCAGATGTTTCAAAAAATTAGGTTTGTGCAGTGGTACCTTATGTAAGAATTTTCTTATGAAGACATTTTCAGTGTGCTTAAATTTATAGAGTAAACTAATAATGCAGAAAAAGCATCTTTTAACAGCAAGAACACTCATGAAGTACTAGAACACTCCACTGGGAGAGAAAACAAGCCCTCGAGCAGTACTGCACAAAATGACATTTACGGAAGCATCAGTGTTTTGATCTCAAGAGATCCTGCAGATGGAAGTGACTGAAAGATAGCTCAGATCACACACTTTCATGTAAAAGCTGAAAACAGTATAATCATTGCAGGTATAATTCCAACATAATGATTTTTAAAGATTAAAAAAGTGACATAGCTCTGACAAAGCAATGCAGAGACGACACACGTTTAGATTGTTGCCTCTCTTAAAAATGCCAGGCTCAAGTCTTTCGACCAAGGCTTCAACCGAGAAAAAACAGAAGTAAAGGATACAAAACAGAAGGAAAAGGAATATTTAGAAAGAAGCAGGGGGAAAGACAGAGAGCAAAAATAACCATTGCCATGTCAAAGGAAAAACAATTCCGTGGAGGAACTCTGAAAATAACACAAAAGCCAGTTGTATTTCCACGTTATTAAATCACATTAATTCCCTTCAACATTGCCACATATCGTGATTTCTTAGCAGAAAACAATGAGAACAACTTTCAGTGACCAAGAATTATTAGCTTATTCCTACCTTCGCTTTTCTCCTGTAGCACTCTGGACAACTGATTCACAGCTTCATCCACGTGGAGACCATGCAGGTCCAACACGTTCATAGGCAGCAAGGACGTATTTACTCTCTCGAAGATTTTCACGGCAGCTGCATGGTTGGCTTCTTTCATCTTCTGCTCATGAAGGCGACCCTTAATTCATAAGCACAGCAACTCTTACGTGCCGAGACATAACGTAAGCTCCACACCGCTCACTGGGTTTAAAACGACGGTACTGGCAGGGTGCTTTTAGCTCACAGTTTGAAGCAGTGCAACTTATAATTGTAACAGAACTTCTGGAAGAGGCTCAGTGAGGCCTACCCACAAGGAGATTTCATGAAATCTGTTCTTAAGAAACTACTCAATGCTGGCACAAAGAAGAAATTACAACAAACATCTTGCGAGAAAGAAAAAAGGCCAGAAAAGGCACAAAACCATAAGGGTTTATGTAAGCTAAAAAGTTATGCTCCATGCTGATTTTCAGATTTATTATCCTAGCAACAGAATTTTACTTTTGGCAAGTGTTATGCTAAAAATGTAATGAAATTATGTCAGAGAAACTACCCAACAGTCCAGGAAAAACCTACTGAGTGTTATAGTTGAAGTTAATTCTTCTGAACGCATTCCCTAAAAATTAGACAAGCTAAGGGCAAACACTTTTTTCTTTTTTTTTTTTTAATAATAGTTGCTTATTGTCTCTCCTAATATTTGTGACAGACCTTTTACGACAGACAAGGTCAATACAGTCCCTACTGGAATTAGGGGCAAGGAGCAGTACAGGAGTACTCACATTACACAGTGGACAAGTGCCAACTACTTCCCATGAACCTTGCAGTAATAATATTTGAGAGACTAAAGCAAAAATTATGTCATCAAAGATCTGCAGGCACAGTCTGAAAAGGAATGGAAGACTTAACTCCAGGTATTGGACTGACAAGGGCTCAAAAGAACAGAAGTGACAGTCTGTCTGAGGTGTATTAGTGTCAGACCAGAGACAGCAGCCCCCTAACTCCCAGTTGCTGAGGATTCCCAAGACAGGCTGAAGCCACAGAGCATAAAGTATTTTTCATGAATAAAGGTAACTTAGTTTGCCTTTTTGTTACTTAAAAGAAAACATAAATTTCCATATAGTACTTATCATTATGGTTAAGAACAAAAGTCAAACAAAATCATGCAAACCTTTTTTTAGAATCTCTCCAAACATCAAAAATACATAAACCAAGAACACAAAGAGTTCATTATAAAGACCAATACTCAATATTTCTTACACGCACCATAACAATCTAAACATTTAGAGTGATGTATCAGTTGCATGAAAGCTTTTTTAAGATAAGCAAATTCAAGCAATTCAAGTGATTTTGTTCTGTCGTAATGCAATTAACAGTTTAGAATTAAATGCTTCTACAACATGAATTCTTAATGAATTTTTGTGGGCTATCAGGTGAGGGAAAACTACAGCCTTTGAAGACATATGTAACAGGACTTTTATAAGTGATGTGAATGAGGGATAGAAGGATAGAAGGATCTTGACACAAGGCATGGAGAAACCAAGGTACAAAAACCGTTACGAGAACAGTTGATACTTATAATAGAGAATACAATCAACAGCAAAGACCAACAGTGATCAGCTGATATACACCGAGAGACGTGCTTCAATCAAGGCCAAAGCCAGTGCTCCAAGGCCAGAGCACACAGGATTGATCAGCAGCAGATCTACCCTTCAAAACCAGATGGATGGCAAAAAGCACCTTTATCCCAGCCCAAGACAGACCACGGCCACAAAGACAGTGAGAACCAGGAAGCAAAGACAGCAAGGTAATCTTGCCTGAGATTTATGGAGGATAAAGCAAGGAAGATTCTGAGGCAAAAGATCACACGGTAATATCTGCCTGATTCCTCCAAAGCACAGGAGACACATCTAAAACCTGTTCATCACAAATTAAGAGGAAGGCAGTGCGCCTATGGATGTTGTTCTTCCCCATGAGGGTGGTGAGACCCTGGCACAGGTTGCCCAGAGAGGTGGTGGAAGCCCCATCCCTGGAAGTTTTTAAGGCCAGGCTGGATGGGGCTCTGAGCAGCCTGATCTAGTGGGGGATGTTCCTGCCCATGGCAGGGGGGTTGGAACTAGATGATCTTTAAAGTCTTTTCCAACCCTGACAATTCTACGACTCTGTGATTCGAAAACTGCTGTTTGTTGCAGTCCATGGCACACATGACTGAGGCTGGTCAGAGCATGTGGACACAAATCTTGGTGCTTAAAAGCGTGTGGATGCAAGGGTGAGATCTGTGAGAAAACAAGCATGTGTGACCAAACACTAAATATCACCTTTCATGAAATCTTGCACTAAATTTGGTTACATTAGCTTCTCATATAAGTATCATTACTAGCGAAAGAGTTTACTTGAAAGGTGATTCTCAATGTAACAACTTAGACAGCAAAGAGTAATTGAGGAAATTCATCAACACTAGTAGGCACAATGTTTTTCTTATCGCTTGCAATTCAATATTTAAGCACCTCTCTAAATTCAGGCAAAAAGCACAATGTTATATTTACCTGATGTGCATAAAATGCTGCCACAGACTTCATACCCATGCGATAGGCCTCCCCGGCCTTTTTCAAACATTCCTGTCTCTTTTGCTGGTGACAAAATGCTTCTGCTCTTAAATCATCATATTGCGGATACTCAAAATCTTGAAATACTTCGCTCAAAGGATCATCCTCTTCCTTATTTTTTTTTGCCTGTAGGAATTGGCAGTGTTGAATTTAAGTTGGCATTGTAGGGCCTTTTCATCAACATAGCTTTGGATACATTTGTAACTACTATTTAAAAATAAAAAATAAAAATACCTTCTTCTCCCGGTTCTTTGTAGCACCGTAGGAAGAAACAATTTCATTTTGCTGAACACTTTCTTGAGCTATAACTGTTTTTACAGGATCTGCCTCCAGAACACAATTCAGAAACTGCTCAGTTTGTTCTAAAGAGTAGCTGTAAAGGACAAGTAAAATCTGTGACTTTACAAATACATTCATAGCTGCTACATTTACTAAAATACGTATTTCAAACCTTGATATTGTGACATAAATAGATAACAACGGAAATAAAGCACTGCAATGGAATTTTCCACCTTAATACAAAAAGGCTTGCAGACTCACTGCACTGCATTCCT